CTCTCTTTCCCTACCAGAGAGAAGCTGCAGGGAAAATGGGGTTCTCTGCTCCTTTTTTTCAAATGCTCTCACCATTTTACAAAGTCCTATTTTCCCCACACGTAGCGGCAAGCTGTCTTACAGCCTGGTGTGTACAGAAGAATGATTCAAATGAACCTCTGTCTGCTGAGGAAGCGTCGGTGCACCTATAGAAAGAACATAGTGGGCTGGTCAGCACAGCAACCTTTTAGAGAAAACAATAAGTACCCGAAAGAAGCAGTGGAGCAGGACTAATGCCTTCCGAAAGGAAGAGGGGAAGGTGGAATTAAAACAGGTTGAATTAAAAGCGAGGCAGGCTTGCAAGCTGCCTCCATTGTCTCCTGGTGCTGTTGGGTAGCACTCAAGGTAGGCTGGGATCGGATGGAGGGGGCTAGTCAAGAAAATCAATGTCAAAATGTACAAAGGAAACAGTGTCTCTGCTCACTGAAACCAAAGCAGGGAAGAGCCTCAAAGAAAGCAGAAGTCCTCTGGTCCCCTTGCTGGAAGAAGACTTGGATGCCTGTATTTAAACTGTGTTAAAGTTGATCCCTTTCTCTCTCATTTACAGATGTTACCCAGAGAGGCTTTTATCATATGTGCATTTGGCTTAGCACTGAAGGGTAATTGCAGCAGAACAGCCTATGGAAAGAGATCTGCAAATGCTATAGAATGTGAGCTGGCCAAATTCTGTCCCCATTTACATCTGTGCAGCCTCATTGCTTTCAGCGAGGTTGCTCTGATATCCCCAATGGCAGAATTTGTTTGGGATGTTATAGAGAGACAGTGCGAATGTATTATGTGATTATGACAGTGAGCTTCTTTGGGTCAGCTGTTCCAATGGCTCATTTCATGACTTCGGTCATATCACTTAACCTTTCTCTGCTCTGATTTACTCAGCAATGCATATTTATGCTGACCTGTCTTACATGGGGAAATTACTGTAGAATTTCTTGGACACTGCAGAGAGAGATAGTCTGCTGCCTTCTACACATGCAGACAGCAACACTTAGGCAGTTGCAGTTGGGAGTAAAAAAGAACCAAGGCACTGTGCCTAAGCCTGAAGTGGGCCATTATTTGCCTTCTATAAACACTGTATTCTGGCTAGGGAATGAAATAGGAGAAAGATGCACCAAGTCAACATCTAAGGTGGGAAATTTGGCAAGCAGTGCTACTTGGGCTGGATTGCAGCAGTGGTGTCTTGCTGAGTGTTTTTTTTTTTTTTTTTTTTTTTCCTTATTTGATCTTGGGGTCTTGGGATTGCAGCAGGTGCTCGTGGAGGGAGCCCTGGCATCCTGGAGTTGCAGCAGGTCACGCTGTCCACACCGTGCTGAGGTGTGAAGTGATGACCACAGCGTGATTTGGCTTCTCCATGCTTCCTATCTTTACACTTTTTTTTTTTTTTTTTTTTTTTTTTTTTTTTCCAGCTGTCTCTTCAAGCCTCCTTTCTGCCTGCACTGTCCAGACAGAAAGCGATGAGCAGCTTTAAGCAGCCCGAGAAGCAGCTCCAACGCTGAAAATATTCCCTGCCCTGAGTGGTTTCTGTTTCCAGGGCTGTTCGGGTTGGATGTTCAGGCCTTCTTGGCCTGATTGCCCACAAGATGGCAGTCGCCACCAGTACATCACTCATGGGCCTGTCAGGCCGCTGGATTGGCAGCTGCAGGCACCGAGCTGGCCGAGCTCTGCTCCTGCAAGGAAAAGGAGCCAGGAGAATGGGAAAGAAATGCCTGATTTCCATAGGGAGCCTCCCTATGCCTGGGACATGCTCCTCCGGCTCTTATGGTTTCAGTGTAGACATAACATATATATGTGTGTGTGTATACATTTATTTATTTATTTATTTATTTATTTATTTTCTTTTCTTTCAACTCTCTGCAATGAAAAGTGAGGCCAGTGGAAATTGAGGAAGGAGTCTCTGCATATGGCAACTGTCAGCTTGTCTTCTTCTGGCCAGGGTGCTGTAGGACCAGTTGAAAAGCATGAACGCATTTCTAGAATAAAGCATTTTAGACCTTATCGTGTAGAAGTTGCAGTTTTAGGTTTTCTTTGCAGACTGTGATTTGAGAACCATTTTCTAGCGGGGGAATGGACCACATAAATAAGGAAAACACACAGTAATTTAGGTGGTAACCTAATTACGTGATTATTTCCACCCTCATAAATGCATACAACTTAGAGTGGAATATTCAATAAAATTGTAGCTTTGGCACTGAAGAGATTATCGCTAAAAATGTGCTAAGTGTTCTTAAAGAAAGGTCTAGTAAATTGCCTCTAAAGCACAGGAAATTGGCTTAGCTCCTTCTGTGTAATATTTGTCTTAAGAAACACATCACAGGCAATAGGGCTGAGAAGAGTCACTGAGGTCTGAAATACATGGACTCTTGCAGCAGCAATATTAGCAGCACCTCTAGGAGAACCTATAGGGCTTAATTTTGCTACAGACTCTCTGGAGGACCATCAAGAAATTGCTTTATGAGTTGAAATACCCATGCTATTATACTCATAATTTGATACCGCAACACCAGACTGCAGTTAGTTGTGTTTCTGCAAATCAGTGTCTCTTTTCTGACTACAGCATTTCTCCTCTCTGCAATAACATTCTTTAAAGAAGAGGTAGTGGCCAGGATAAATTTTGCTAGTGGCACAACACAGTGGGATGAGATGTTTCAGGACACTGGTTTCAGAATATAGATAATAACAGCAGAAAGAAATCACAACCTCCATTTTCCCCTCTTTATGACTTTACAGAATTCATTAGAGTTGAATTGTTTTAAAATGTTATCTGTGAAAAAAATAAGGCCCTTTACGGCCAAGCTGGAAGCATCCAAAAATTATTTACTGTTTGGTGATCTATACGGAAATAACTCAGTCTCTGATAAGGATTGGTTGTTTTTCACACGTTGGGCTGCTTCTCCCCAAATCATCCTTGTTAGCATCCATGAATGCTAATCTGCACCAAGCCAAGGTGACAAGCCAAAACCTGCTCAGGTGCGATAGCTGAAATCATTTCTTAGTACTTCAGCTGGTGTGTTTGTGCCATGATACCTTTAATCAGGGTGGCGGGTATAAGTGCCATGAGGGAAACATGTGCTCTTACCACACAGATGTGGGATAAGCAGAATTATCCCACTGTTAGTTACCCCCAGCAGCTTTCAGCGTTTGCTGTTCTCCCACAAAGACTTCTTGTAGAAGAGCGTCTGAATACGGGTTGGCATATCCCTCCCAGTTAATGTCTAAATATTAGCTACATTAGACTGTCTTTCCCTCTCATTTGAGTTGCAGAAAAGATGAGGTAGTGCCTGAATGTTTCCTCCAGGGGATATTTAAAGTCAGAGAACTTTTCTCATTGTTCTTTTCCCCTGTTCCTTAATCTAACATCCAATTCTAGTTAATGTGCAGTTTCCAAGGCTAACTCAGTTTTGATCGGGTTGTGTTAACTTTGAAAAGCTGACTGAGTCCAGCTTAAAATGGATGCTCTTAGAGAAGGATGAAAGGCCTTTTTTATCAGTGTTGAAGGAAGTAGTTCAAAAGCAGAAATGGTTTCTTTCTGAAGACAAAGAAGCTCTTTCTCACTCCCCTCTTGCCATGAAAGAGATCTTTTGCAACTTACTGCCCATCAGAGAAGAATTCGATGAACTGGAGATGAAGCGGCAGCGTATTGGGAATTTTATTATTATAGCTGGAATAAAGGAAATTTAATGTATGTGTATGCCCTTCCTTGCTCCCCAAATGCCCTTTTACTTCCACCTTTTTTTGAACTGCCTTTTTCTTCCCCTCTTTGGAAGCGAATAGTTTTGCTGTCTAGGTGGACAGAGAGACTGGCCTTCTTGTTACCATCTCATACCATGAATGACCCTAGACAGTGAAGTGGAGGGAGATAGAAGTATACAGCTATAAATTCCTCATCCCAACTCCACTAGCTGTTGAGGCCCTCAGGATTAGAGACTTAATTTGGAGACAAAACCTTTTTGCCTGAGTAAGACAATTATTGGTGGAATAGCACTTTTTAGAAGGGCTGAATCCCCTGTGACTTGATTCCATCACTTCCTAAATGAATATTTAATTGTTGCCCATTAAGACACTCATTGTCTGTAAAGTAGACCATACTTTTGGGTTGCTGGGTTTGCCAGCTGGTGAAATTGGTGATGTTAGATTATAGCAGTAGGTCATGCCTATGCTGGAGTGGTCAGGTACGTTATGAAAATTCAGCAGAATTGGGGCTTTGCTGACATTCATAGGATCAGAATGCTTAAAAAAATGGGGCCAAAAGAGACTGCCTTAAATTCCACTCATCCTGCTTGAGAAAACACTCCTTTAAAACTTCCCACAGGTTTCAACAAGGGTGTTTAGATTTCCCTGTCTGCATTAGACTTAGAGAAGTAAGTTCAACCCTGAACCAGAGTGTCTTACATAAGATTTCTTTGCTTAAATGGCTTCAAAAATGGGAAGAGACAACACACGCACACACACGAACACACACACACACACGGAGCAGCACATAAGCATATGAAGCATGTTCATATAAATTATTAAAAGCAATATCACAGTAAAGTTGGCAGAAATATAACCTACATAATTGGCACCAGCGGGCTGCATGTGTCAGAGAAAATTAACCAGAAATTAAACGGATATCAGAGCAAATCCAAAGTGGTTTCTTGGTTTGACAAGTGAAATTTGAAGCAGGAGGGTGTGAAAAACGCCGTTATTTCCTTAACCCTTTTGAGCGTTTCTGCAGACACATATAAATACCCATATGATGAGCATGCATCTCTTCTCTCTTACAGTTATCTGGCCCACAATCAGAAATATGCCAGCCTGCTAATTAGCTGCATGGATTTAGCAGCCATGTGATTCAGCAGGTTGATTTGAGCATGTGTGCATCAAGTGTATTTGTATTCTTCTAAGCCTTTGGGAGTTCAGCACAGGGTGGGGTATTTTCAACACCTTTAACGTCCTTTGTTCTGAATTTCTGCATTCAGGATTGACAAAGTCATGCAGTGCCTGGCTTCCTTGGAACTTCAGAGGGTGACATTCATCAGCCTTGTGAGATACCTGTGAACATGTTGATGTGGAGCTGGCGAAGATCCTCCAAGGCAAAGAAAAAACTGCATCACCAGAGTCAGCTGAACACGGCTAACGCTCAGCCAGCTGTTCCTAATCTGCTCAGTGACTCATCCCCACTCAGCTCTGATTTTTTTTTAACATATTTCCTCCCCACCTATGGTCTTAATTGTGATTCTCTCTTTCCTTTTTATCATCCTCTTCCAACGCAGTCCTATGACAGGTGGCACACCTGGACGGAGACTGCCAGGGGCTGCAACAGGACCCTGAGTGAGAATCAACAGATAACTCAGCATGAACACCTGCTGGGTGTATGTTCAATGACAAATGGTCTAGAACAAGCACTAAATGTATAAGCAAAGAGGTGCCTCTGAAGTCAGACAGCCAACCGGTAAGTAATAATAGTGAAATTCAGTTTATTGAGTGTAGACCTAAATGCCTGCATTGGCAACCTGATGATGAAAAGTCAGGGGGTGCAGGAAAAGAGATCCAGACTTGACTTGATATCTTGAGAAAACACCTTCTAATTGGAATGTGTAGGAAGCTCTGTTTGGTTCATCAAACAGAAGAGCAAAAGGTGACTTAACTTGAGTGTATAAATACCTTTATGAGCATAAAATAACTAGTGTTAAAAGGCTCTTTAATCTAGTGCAGAAAAGCTCAGCAAGACTCAATGGTTGCAAGCTGAAGCCAGACAAATTCAAATGAGCAATTAGGCATACACTTTGATAATGGGGGACAATTAACCACTGTAACAAACTACCAAGGGAAGCTGTACTTTCTTCATCAGAAGATCTCTTTAGTTCCCAGACCAGATGCCTGGACAGTTTAGCCAGGCACAAATTGTTGCACTCAACAGAAGTACAAGGGTTGAATTCAATGGTCTGTAACCTATAAGAGCTTAGAGAGTTTGAGCTAATGATGCCTTCTCTTTTCAGTTAAGGATCTAGGGATCTTCTCCTTTCCTAGTTTTATATCTGGTATACATCAAACAGCTCTGGGGAAGCTGGTTAAGATGAGCACACACGTCCTTGAACTAAATCCCCCCTTTATTTTGGGTGCTTGTCTAGGTCTGAGAGGCAGCAGGCTTTGAGATATAGATAACAAAGCCCAGTAGAAAAAGCAGGAAGGAATAGGCACAGCTCCTTCCACTGCTGTTTGTACCCAGAGGCACAACAGGCAAAATCATCTCATTCTACTTGATCTGTATTTGCATCATATCAGATTGTATCCATTTATCATCTTGATATACATCACTCTTCAGATACATTTATTTAATGTATTTACTTCCTTTTGATGTGTGAACAGTGAAAAAGCACCCTGATATGAGCTCTGAGTGCTCTGTCAATTATTTAAAATTACACCCAGAGCTCACTGTAATCTGTTTATCCCACCTTTTCAGCAACAACTCATTTTTAAAGGTAATCATCCCTTTCCTTCTCTTCAGATCCATTTTCCTGGTCTTCAAAGTCCAGAGAAAGTCCAAGTTCCGGTTACAGTGTCAAAGGCATTAGTACCCCTGGCTATTTTTGACCAAAGCCAGAAGGATTTCAAGGGGTTCCCCAAAGATTTTTCCTAAAGAAAGCTCCGTCCCTCTTTACAGGGTCAAGGAAGGGCAAGCATTCCCAGTCACAGCCAACTCCAACTACGACGATTTACCATGGGAAGGAAGGTGGTTTTCCAGAGGATGTGAAGGTTAGAAACCAAATATTTCCTGCATGTAGAGTAAATAATCTCCTTCTAATCAAAAAAGTCTGTTGCAATGTATAGTAGATGAGGGACTGATGCAGGGTATGGAAAGCACTGTCAAGGTGCTTTTCCCAGCTTCATGCCATGTTATGGCCATGCACTGCAGCCTTTGGAGCCTTCCATTGGCTTCTTTGTTCCTACACATCAGCCAGCTGAAGCATCTTCCTGTCCCCTTGAAACCCTGCCTACGCCACCCCTCCTACGAATACCCTTTGATTCCAGATGCAGATGGGAACTAGAAACGAAAAGGGCAAAACCATGGGAGTGAGGAGGTGGAGATCAGAGAAGCTGATGAAATGAAAGGTCTAATTAAATGTGCCCTCTGCTCTGGAACCACAGCCTGGCTGTTACACACATGACTGTACACTGGTTTCCAAGTTTAGAAAAGGGGAATATGCCCTCAGAGTCAGTGCTGGGGAATAACTCTTGCCATGCCCCAACCTGATAAGATAGTTAATGGCAGCCTCTGCTACATCCATATACAGCTGCTTACTAATTAAAAATGCATAGGCTTCAATTTCAAGTTAAAGTGACACATTTAATAGCATCTTTCAGAGCTTGCTAATGCTCAATGAGAACTTGATAGTCACAATAAGTTTGCATAACACAAAATTTTGGTCTTGATATTAAAGTACTACACATTATACAACATGAATACAGAAGAAAAAAAAAAGAGGAAAACTGAATAATGTGTTTCTTGGTCTTTCTAGCTACAGCAGCAGAGACATTAGTCAGGTGCACCTCATTTCCAATTTGTGCCATGGCAGGAGCAGCATTTATTTGTGCCACTGGGTTACGCGTGCACCCAAGTACCTGCATAACTTGATGGAAGAGAGCAGAAGCATACTAGAGAAGATGAGACCTTGAATGCTCATCTCTGCCTTTGGAGGTACTTTCCTATACATCTCTGGCAAATCTTACATTTTATGCAAAAATAAAGAGGTGGCTTCTCTGACCCAGATCTTAAAAGTGGGCTCCCAGGATCTCTGTGAATATGAAAGTTAAGTCTGATTTACACAGGTTAGGAATTGCAATCAACTTTCAGCATTCTAGACTTAACAGTAATAAGGTCTCCTCTTATCCCGCAATTATAACATTTTTACAAGTGTACTGTTCATCACCAGTTAGTACTGAATAACTTGATGGGCAGACAAAAATATGTAGCTTAAATAAAAGATTATTTTCAATGTTAAGGGAACCAAAATTATTTTATAACACTGACTTTTTTCACCCTATTTCAATATTTATGCACTCATGTCAGCTCAGGTACTTGAGAAAGAAGCTTCAGTTTCTGCTTCATGTCACTTTTGGAGTCTGCTCCTCATTAGTTTTGGCAACTGGTTCTCCAAACCAGAACTGAATCTTCTTTCATAGATTTTGTGTTTATATGATTCCTGACTTTAAAAGTTAAGACAGAATTGTTAAAATGGGAGACTATATATATATTTTATTTTTTTTTTTAAGATTTCACAAGCTATCAAACTTCCAGAAAATCTAGGGAGTTTTTGTCCTTTGATGGGTAATGAAGTGTTCTAAAACACTCAGTGAAGAGTTCTCCCTTGACAAAGAATAAATAATATTTTGTATTAATGGAAAATCCTCCAAAGCTTTTGTCTTTCCAACATGTTTATTAAATCTTAAACAAAATATAAGCCCTACAGTGCTTTTTTTATGGCTCAGTTTAACACTAACTACTGTTTTATTTTAACTAAATGCTTTTGTTGCATTGCATAATAATAAAAATAAAGTCATAAAAAGCATCTGTGCCATACAGTATAGGCTCCTTTGTTCCCATGTGCTGTGAGGTCTGATGTCTGCAGTGAAGATGAATTCACCATGCTTAGAAAAAAAAAAGTTCGCACTTTAGAGAAAAGATGCATTTTGAAAAGGCTCGTGTTGACCTCTACTATAAGGAGCAGGGCAGCTTTCCATCTATTCTCCAGTCTGAGGCCACTTTTCTCCTCCCTGATTGTGCCGGTGCTGCAGATCCATCCCTATTTCACGTGGCACTTCCTTTCCCCGAGCATCTTGCTGTGGGAGCTCTGCACGACACCCACACAGAGCGGACTCGCGGGCGGTCTGACATTCCCCCGCTGGCTTCCAGGCTACAAAACGTGGTCACCTTACTCTGCTAATGGGGTTGCTCCCCCACGTAACATGACAGAAGCCTTTTGTGAATCTCGTCCCCCATTCAAACCACACTCCGCACCTACAAGGAAGACCCAACACAGAGGAGCTGCACCATTTCCCCTGGGGAAATGTATTGCTGTATTCATTTCTCAGCATCATACAAAAAGAGCCCAAACCTGGCTGGACAATATTCACATAGAGGGTATTTTTATATAGCTTAGAATATTTATAGAATAGCTGGACCACACGGCATGCTCAGATACAGGCCCACCCTGTAAAGGTCAACAAGCTTTTGAATTGCACTGAGGTGGGGGAGCTGAATGAATTACCTGATTTATCACCACCCCTGGAACTGTAATTATCTCAAACACTAAGATTTTCTCTCAGTATACCTTGAAAGCTTGTTTTTTGGTGTTGTTGGAGGTTTTGCATGACTAGGTGAATGACTGGATATGCTTGGATAAAGCTTGGGATTGAGAGACCTGATCCCAAGCACCTGTAAGTTATGAAAAAGAGGACTCTGGGAAAGATGGAGGTATGCTTTGGGGCTGCAGCCATTGGCAATATATTTTAGGAATGCCATGTCAAAGAGTTGAGTTTTGCATTTAGTCTTCAGTGAGACAAGGCTTGGTAGCATCTTTATTATAGATAGTCCACAGAAATGAAGACACTGGGTCTTCACCAGTAAAGGGTCCACACCATGGCCTCCCCATCCACCCACCGATAAATCAACCTATTTCACAGCCTCCAGGGGTGCTTTCTGTGAGTGGGGGCAGAGGGAAGGCTCCTATAAGAAGACAGTCCACTTTTTAATTACAGATAGACATCGGCCCAAGCTGCAAAAATTACAACTCCATGCAGATTACTGGGGGCATGGTGAAACTCCTTTGAGCTGAGAAACTCATCCCACAGCCCAGGCTCTGTGATAGCCCGATGTGGGGAAGCACCGAGAGCCTGCCCAGCAGCATCAGAACATGTCAGGAAAACACAATCCATGGCACAGTGAAGGAGGAAGGACAGCATCCCCTACTACTCATTGCACAATAATCACAGAAGGATCCAGCTGGGAGGAGAACTAAGCAGAGAAGAATGGGGTGGATGGACCCAGTGATAGGAAAGCTGTCTCTGCCAAAGAGATAGGAAGTGTTTTTATGATGAAACCACTGAGGTGAGGGAAGATGAGAGAGGAAAGCTGGTATTTGGATTTCTCCCTGCTGGGTCAATAATCTGAGGCTAAATAACCCCTTACACCTTTTGCATCAGGGGCTTTTCAGCGTGCCAGAATGGGAATTTAAGGATATTAAACTCAGCTCCTAGTGCAATTACTATGCAGATGGTGGAAAATAAGTGTTGGCAGATTTAGTGTGGGTGCTTGGTGAAGCTTGTATCTATAGCAGAGGCAATGGGCAAACACTAAACAGGAAATTTCATTTTCTTCACAGCTCTGGAAGACCTGAAATAATCAAAAATATTCATAGGGGCTGTTCAGATTCTTCTTTTAGAGAGAAATGCTGTAGGCTGCTATCCCTCTCTGTTGTGCTGTCATGTACAGGTTATCTGCAAAGGGCAGCTCATAGTCTGGGGGTCTATTTGCTTTGATTCACAGGATGTGATGTGGAAAGTGATCGTCCCTGCCCTGCCCTGCCCCAGTTATTGCAGTCCTGGGTTAACTCAGCATCCAGGTCTGCACTACAGCACTCCGTGCACCACCAGCTCTGAAACCCTTGCTGCTGCAGCTGTCCCTTAGTGCAGAGGGTGTCTCCTGTCATGTGGGGAGAGCCCTCGGTGCCAGCTTCCTCCTGACCAGCCCTGTTCTTCCATCCCAAACTTGTTAATAATGGCCAGACTGAGTTGAACCTGTTGCAGAGCAGTCAACAGGCAAAATAACCTTTTAGAGCCCTGATTTGTATCCAGGCACCCAGGACATTATGCAAATTGCTGTCTATCTCCTACCATCATATCATCATCTCAGCTGAAGTTGTGTTTTTGTTTTGTTTTCCTCCTTCTCTAAAGGAAAGATTGCAAAGCTCCTCCTTGAGCAGAGTTTCACCAAGGACTGAATTTTTCTTTTCTATTTACTTCTTGTACAAAGCAGGCAATCTTGGTAGGCAGCCTGCCAGCATGAGCTAGTCCCTGCATGAGCACTGTAACAAACGGATAAATATCCTGTCTAAGATATAACATTTTCCAGTGTTGATTAACCTGAGCTGCAGTGATGGATACTGGCTCCTGGAGACTGTGCTATCAGGGAGAGCAACAGTGGATGAATTTTGTGATGTGCTTTAGAACCAGGCCTTAGTAGCTAAGTGGGTAACAGCACCAGCTACCATTTAAGCACTTTGTATCTCAGCGCAGTGAAGTCACTCCAGAAGCACACAGGAGGTGTTCAATGGCCATGCTGTGCAGAAAATCCATCAAAGCCCAATCAAGCTCAAATCTGAAAACCAGGCTTGGTGGCAGCATAAAAAACTTGAAGGGGAGAAATAAATCTCTGCTTAATCTCTCAGAGAAAACAACAGTGTTGATTCAGTGCAGGCATGGAACAGTGCAGCAGTGGCTTCCTCTGTCTGACACTGTACAAAAAGAAGAGTCTCAGAGCTCTGCAGAAGTGACCCACTTCCAGGCTATTTAAAATGCACTCAGGTGCTGTGTACAGTATGCACGGGCATGCTGCAGACCTAAGAGAAAAAGAGAGGGAGATGCGCCACGAGGATAGGGCTCTGTTTTCATCCTGGTTTCCTTGGTCATTCCTCAAAGGGTAAAACTGCTGAAGGGACCCCAATTTGGAGAGCTTCAGTAGCTCCCCAACAAGAAAGAGAAACTGGTGCCAAGCCAGAGCTGAAGAAAAGCAGATGGCATGAGAGAGCACTGGAAAGCCATGGCCAGCAGCTGCATTGTCCATAGGATGGGCAATCCTTGAACAAAATCACCCTCACCCCCAGCTATATCTTGGCTGTCTCAAGAAGGGGCACCTCAGGAGTAAGAAATGGGTCATGGCACCCATCTGCCATTTGGTGATGGCTTTATAGACCAGTCAGTGCATAAACGGGACGTTTCACACATACACAGAGCCAGTCCTTCTCCATTGACCTCTTTTTTGCCTTGGAGAGAATTTTCAGATTTTATATTGCTGCACTGGAACTAATGAGAGCAGCCTGATCAAGCTGCCAGAATGAATCAGGGGGATAATGCTGCACTGATATTCTAGGCCACAGTCTATTTTTTTCCCAAAACTTTAAATCGGTTGAAATCCAATTTTGTGTCTCATTTTTTACACTCAGTGGGGGAATTTTCTGGCAGTGTTTCAGTCTGGAGAATTTGCTTCCTGAATATCATACTTCTTCCAATCATAAATCTGGAGGGAGGTCAAGCTGGGCAATATCCCCTTTGTCTGTGAGGAGATATACAAACTGTTTCGCATTAGAGAGGAGGCAGAGTTTGAAACCTTAGGTCTGAACATCTTGGGGTACTGAAAGCGAACCTTTCTCCAGGGTTCTGGTCCAAATCTAGACTGGACTAGCTCCATCCTGCTCTGCTCAGTAAGACTGCAAAATCTGGCTTGATTTTGAACTTTTACAGGCTGGTAGGAAAAACCAACCAACAAACAACAAAAAATAAACACAAAAAAAGGAAGGAAGGAAGGAAGGAAGGAAGGAAGGAAGGAAGGAAGGAAGGAAGGAAGGAAGGAAGGAAGGAAGGAAAGAGAAAGAAAGAAAGAAAGAAAGAAAGAAAGAAAAAGAAAGAAAGAAAGAAAGAAAAAGAAAGAAAGAAAGAAAGAAAGAAAGAAAGAAAGAAGGAAAAAGAAAGAAGGAAAAAGAAAGAAAAAGAAAACAGGAAATATCTGTTTCTTTAATGTAAATCCACATGTATCTGAAGAAAGGACCATTTCAACATGTGTACTACCCATTAGGCACCTTTTCAACTGCTTTGACTTATCAAAACAATTAAAGCTGTGTTGTGCTTATAAACATTCAAACACCCTTCCTAAGCCATATCCCACCAGAATTACCAATATTTCCAGTCACTGCGTCAATCAGAATCAGCAGGGGTCCTGATCAAAAATATATATATATATAAATAAAATTAAAAAAAAAATCAAGTGCTTTGAAGGGTTGTTTAAATTCTGTTAAGGAAAAAGATTTGTAAGCCGAGTGAAGAAATCAGAGGACGACGATCCCCAAGGGTTAAAGATGATGGATTTGACCTCAGTCTAGAAAAACATGTAAGATTAACATTTAGTTGGAAGTTGGATCTTAAAAAAAATAAAAAAAAAAAAGCTTTTTACTTCTAACATTTGTCTTCCCTTTAAAGTTTTGAAATAACCTGAAGGAATGCAAGAATGAAGGCCTAAATATACCAAGCTGACATAAGAAATATTTCACTTAATAAGTAAATTTATCTTGCACATGGACTCTGGCTTTTCAACAGGAAAAAAAGAGAAAGCTCAGGGTTAGCATTTTTCTCCTTTATCCTATGAAGTTTGTATCAGGAGCTGCCTCTCATGAAAGTGTCATGAATCTTCTGTTATTTGGTAGGATGTTTGTAGTTTTTATGGCTCAACTCTGTGAGTCAAGAGATTTCTTTCAAAAAGGAAAACAAAAAGGTGGCTTCTTGTGCAGCTTTAACGAAC